CATTAGTCTATCTCTTTTCGTTTTCAAGATAAAAAATAAGAACATTATTTTTCCGCCATCTTTGTACCGCGATATCTCCCTAATGATTGACTTTTGACCCAACGTTTATGAAGCAAACTACCCTTTATTTTGAACAAGGAATCACCCCCTGAAGTTTTTCGCATTTGTTTTGAAACACCCCGTATATCATACCAAGTGGAATCAGCCGATAGAACATATTTATAAATGTTTGTTGTATTATTATTAATTTAATTTGATAAAAAAGGAATTCAGCAAACACAAAATAATGCGAAAGTAAATAATAAATAAAAAGTGTCTATATCTATGTATGTATGTGGCGGATTCATCTCTCAATCATTCGTCAACGGTTTCTTGTCGACGGATCAGTTTGAAAAAACTAAAGTCTTCTCGAATAGTTAAATTTAAATATTTTAAATAGTTTCTTTCTTTATTCTTTGTATTTTTTTTGCTTCCGAGTCGACGGAAAGAGATAAACTTTCCGAAACGTTAAGCATTTTTTTCTTTGTTAGGCAAATTTGTATAACTAACATAACTTCAAGACAAGTAGTTTCCGTTTGGGTTTAACGCCAGAAGTGTTTACAAAAAATAACTATTTTATTTTGTAGATTTTCTTGCAGTGCAGTGGCGAAATACCCATAATGGATTTTTTTGGAGAGATGAATCCGCCACATAGGTATGACAGTTTTTTATTGTATCTATATTCGTATTACTTATTGCATATACATAAATAGGCCAATTATAAATTGGTCAAGTTTCAATTGAAGTTATTTAGATACAACATTGAGTTGAACAAATAGGAATGTCGATAAACGCACTGCTTTGTAAAGCAGGATATCTGGAGTAATTAGATTAAGTGAACCATTGTAGTTTAATTTTTATATCAGTTAAAATAAATTATTGTAATGATACCTTCTGTTTAAGGCATAGAAATAATATTATTGATTTCTCTATAATGTTCATTTCTAATCATCATTTTTGAATCTAAAAAATATACAACTTAAAATCTCAGAAAAAAATTTGCGCCGGGAGGCACGTATAGCCGCCCATACTAAAATATGTTAATGAAAAGTTGTAGGTAGGCAGGTAGGCAGTTCTTTTAATTTCAGTTATCTTAAAAACTGCGACTTTGACTGATTTTGATGTTATTACAAATTTTGTTGCAAATATTATTCTTAATCTTAAACTGAAAAACCGCGTTTCGCTAGCTACTGTAATTTGGAGTTACGATTTTTTTAAGTTTTTAACCCTCCCATACCCCTTAACAACCCCTCACCCCACCAAAACTAATAGCCAGATTCTCGGGTGCCACAGTATTTTTGTGCCAAATTAGGTTAAAATCGGTTTAGCGGTTTTTGAGTTATCGTGTTACAGACAGACAGACAGACACCAGCGGAAAATATTATTTGTATTTAGGTCATTTATGGTCGGTAAGGGAAGTCGGTTAAAAAACAACGAAAAATTTTTACAAAAGTTTTAATTTTTGTTATAACTTTAATCATGTTTATGTAAATAACTTACAATAGCTCTGCACAAAGGCTTAACAAATACTTCAGACCTATAAACAACAAAATAGTAAAAAATATAACTGGTTTTCTTTTTGTTACTCAACATTACTTGAGTATTATTCCACATTAATCTCATTGAGAAAAAAATTACTCTTAAATTTCACTATTTTTATATCCTCTAGAACACTTGTTTCAGTATACTCGGCATTTCTGTTTAGTTGCTTTCATCAGGTTTCTCTCTTCTGCTTTCTCATTTCCGCAGTATCACTATCTTCATCACTGTCGCTCTCATCTTGGATAGGGTCAATGTGAACTCTTTCAACATTATCGTCAAAAGCAACAGATTTTTTTCGTTCTTCATCAGGATTTGGTACTGGTGACTTAGCAGATGAGTCCGTTGAATCAAAAACTCCTTCCTCCAAAGGATTTGCAAAGACGAACTTTGTAGGTCTTCTATCAGCTACACTGATATAACTAGAAATATAAATTGGATTATGCTTTGTTGATGAATTTCAAAAATATTGAGTGTTACTTGTCAGAGTCAGTGTCGTCATCCTCGTTTGTCTCTGCTGCGCCATTTTTGGCAAAAACGAACTTTGTAGGTCTCCTTTCAGCAACATTAACATAACTAGAAATAATGATTTTATTACGTAGCTATTTTGGTGAGAAATATTTATGTTACTTGTCGGTAAAATCGTCACTAGTGTTGTCTTCGATTTTCTCAACGTCATCACTGAAAGCTACAACTTTGTCTGAGCCTGATTTGGGTGCGCCATCTACTTGAACCTCGTCCAATTCTTCTATGGGAGGAGTGGGAGGTATAATGTGGATACCTGTAGGTCTTCGTAAGGGTTCACTAGAAATTCTACAAAAAAGAAGATTTTATTGTTTATAGTTTATGGAATATATGGCTTCTTTCTAAATCTCCCTGTGGAATATGTTAGCAAAGTTTAATTAAATTATACGAAAAATATGTTGTTTTGTGGGATACTACGCATAAGATGTACAAAATGGTTAATAAGAAAAATGATGCATGGAAAGAAATATCGCAAGATATAGAAGTCGATGTAGGTGAAGTAAAGAAAAAGATGAAAAATTAGATTAGCTGATTGGTTCATTTCACGATGAGGGAAATAATCAAACTATATTTTATATAACAATAATTTTTATCATACAATCGAAAAAAAACGACGTCAAAGATGGCTTGTAAATGAAGATCTGTATCAATTTGAAAGTAATATTATATGGGGAATATCACTTAAATTGAGTAACTAACTTGATTCAAATAACACTTACGAATCAGATTTTTTCTTGATGTCATTCTTCTTAGTAAACTTGGTCTGCTTTGGTTCTATCTTTTCGACATCTTCTTCCAAATTGGCGTAATTTTTTCTTTAAAAAAGGTACCATTAAACCTAAAGCCACTTCAAAAACAAAAAGATATTTACCTGTTTTTAAAGTACCAGTATACTCCTGCAGTGACTATTAAACTAACTAAAAGACAGGCCAATATAATCACAGTTACCAGTAAACCTTTGTTCATGCCAGTTGGACTACTATCATCGTTTGAATTATTGCTGACACCAGTATTCACATTTAGGACAGCACTAGCTTCATCCTGAGTACTTTGATCAGTCACTACTATTTTTAGTGCTATAACTGCATTGTTACTGGTTACACTTTCGGGTAAGTTGGTAGCACTAATCACAAGAACATTCTTGGAATAAGTTTTGTGAAATACGAAGCTGCTAGTTTTTCTAAAAATCAGATAAATTGCTCATATGACTTTTAAGTTTTTTAATTTGCAGCTTATCATACCATTGGAGAGGACAAATATTGGATGTCACTATCACTAGAATCCGTTTCTAAGTCAATGTTTAACTTAAGTTCTCCATTTTTGTATTCTGAAGTATACAAAATGTCTTTGAATTTAACTGATTGTTCTTTAGCTATTTTTGGAAGTGTAATTACTAAGGATGCATAACCACTAACACCTGTTAATAAATCAAAGAATTTTTAGAAAAAGTCAAATATATTTTTGGTTATTTACCGTCGCTAGATACAGCTATCAGAGTGAAAACAAGACTGGTTTCAGTTTTAAGAGTGTTGTCAGATAAGAAACTGTTCACTTTTATTGTATAGGTGTTTTCTTCTTTACTCTCTAGCTCAAAATTACCTGAATATGTTGCATCTAAAAAAGGTAAAAGACAATCGAAAATAATTTAATACACCTCTGGAAATATCGTCGAGAAGAGACAATTTCAACTTGGAAACAAACCAAAAATTGACAGAATAATCGGTTTCCGTTCAATTAAAATGACAGAGAAACTCTGGAACTAAGAGATATGATCTTGTTGTAGAAGCAACAAGCAATTAAAAATATAAAACTAGCTATGAAAAGGTGTCAAATATATTCTTAATAATTACACCAATTTAATTCAAACACAAGCCAAGAATAATATAGTATCTAAAACAATTTAATATATGTCATTGGCAATTCTGGTCTGTCATTTTAATTTAAGCTTGGACTATATTTTCTGTCAGTTTTTTGGATGGGTTTTATCGAAACTGTCCTTTTTTTGCTGGAATGACTTTATATTTTATATAATCTATACCAAATAAACTTTTAGTTACGTCATCGACGGCGCGATTATTAAATCCATTGTTACCAACCATGAACATATTCGGCGCCGGGCTGACTAACTGGAATTTAAATTTCTCGCTGCGGATTCAGGTGGTAGCTCTGCTGTAAAAAATGTCTAGTTGCCACATTTATTTATTTTGATTCGTTTTGACATTGTAGTTTTGTATTACCAGTTTTTGGTGTAAATGTATTTTGCTGTGATACTTTAAGCTTAAGATTTTTTTACTAGCAGACCTTGCAGTCGAAAATTGTTCTTTTTAGGACCGCTTTTATTGTGTAGTGTACAAGATTCCAGAGCAGTTTAACAGCCGTTGCAAGAAACTTATCCCAACCTTATTAGAATATTTTGAACGGGAAAGCGCCAATATAATGGCCCTGTATGCCCCTTAAGTGCTGTCTCGGAGACAAATAACTGTTTATATATTTATAATTAATTCATGTGTATTTCCTAAAATGTTCTGATTAAAAGAAAATATGTAAAAGTCGGCAATGCTGTTCCGGTCAAGCTTAATTACGTAGCTAAAAGTCTATTTGTTATGATTTAAACTTATATTACTCCCAAAAAAGTTACCTTCAATGTAAACTGAAGTAACAGTGATGCCACTCTTTTTTAGTATAATTATATCACTATCTAATGCAACAGTTGCCGCATTATCTGTGACAGTATAGGTTCCATTAAAGGTGAATTTGGTGAATTCTGGTTTTTTACTATCACTGGTACTAGAAGGTAAATTGATAACTAGACTGGTTGTGGCCAATACACTGTTGTCGCTTTTTCTAGTTGCTGTAAGCGTGATGGGTAGATTCTCGTTCTTGTCCGTTATCTCGGAAGTTAAGGGTTTTGAACTTGTCAAAGTCAATTTGTTATCAGTCAAGGTTGTTGTAAAATAGTCTGAGTAATCTAAAATAAGATATATAAAGGTTAATCAGAACAATTCAATATAATAATAGTTTTTTTTAAGTTTTAGTACTAAATAATTTAATTTTAATAAGTATATGATATGGAAATATTCAACAATTCTAAAACTTACCTGATAGAGTGACATCAACAAGTGATAAATCTGCGTTTTCAATTGACATAGCATCAATATCGATTTTAGCTGCATCATTTTCCACAGAGTAAGTCCCCACATAAAACTTGTTGGTAAAACTAAGGCTGGGCAACTTAATGGTTAAAACTGCATCTCCGTAAGACACACCAACTTTAGTAATCGTCATGGACAGTTTTAGTTCAGAATAGTTAGTTAAAACAGTGTCGTTTAAAGGATTATCTATTTTTATTACAGTTTTGCTTTGAGTCGCATCATAAGCGACACTGAAGACTTCAGAAAATGCTGAAATAGTTCATAGTTTCAATAAGTTTTTTTTGTAGTGTATACTCAGAAAAAATATCAACCATAATTTTGAATTTTAATTTTTTTTTTGAGTGGATCATTCTACAGACTACAGAATGCTTTGTACTATTGCACGTTTTGTGTACAGGGTGTCCCATTTTCGTGTGATTTACAGGGTGTCTCGTTTATGAGTAGAGATACAAAGATTTCACATTCACACCACTGTGCTACTTTTTTATGAAACTAAAGATGCTACACACAGATATGTCATAGCCCTCTTAGTTCCTGAATTATTATATGCTATACCGGGTGCGTCTCAAAAGTGGTTCACCCCCATAACTTTTTTATTTTTTTAGATAAAAAAACGAGATTTGGTATGTTAGTATATAACATAAATTAGGATTGATTGACGTATTGAATTGCTTTCGGTCACTTCCGGTTTCACCGGAAATGACTACAACTTTTGATTTTTAAATGGCAGCCTCGGTATTTTTTTACTTTATTTGATAGAAAATGACACTTTGAATAAAATGACATATCATATGTCAACTTTTGACATTTACGCATATGGTTTATTTGAAATTGTAACATGCGGTTCATAACAACAATTTGACTCAATACCATACCAAGTGTGTGGTATCAAATTATTCGTAAAAAAATGCTTTTCCAAATATGCTGATGAGCCATCCTCGTTCCGTTTGAACGAATTGATATATGATTAAAAATACGATTTGGTCATATTCTAACCGGCCAGGACACGACACTAAAAACATTAGACGATCAAATCTATTTTTCGAAGGCTGCTTGATTAAAAATTAGTGTTTTCAACACAACCATGGCACTCTAGAATAAAATTTAAAATACAATTTGTTTTTGAGCGAATATGTCAGAAGTTGACGTATGATATGTCATTCGATTCAACATGTCATTTTCTATTGAATAACGTAAAAAAATACCGAGGGTGCTATTTAAAAATTATAAGTTGTAGTCATTTCCGGTGAAACAGGAAGTGACCAAAAACAATTGAATATGTCAAGCAATCATAATTTACGTCATA